GTGAATACATCTCATTACATTCAACTCGTCAAAATATGTGCTTTTTTGAGGCAAATCTAGTGTGGCCTCGACACACTTGCTATTCACCCCGACCTCTCTCTTTCGATTGACTGATCCGACTCGAGCCTCCAGTCCGGATCCCCTTATTGTCTCGTAGATCCGTTCCTTATCTTTCTGGTTGACCGATTTCACTTGGTTCCAGTCCCATTATGCATTTCACTCAAGGCGCTATTTCTCAAGGCCCTAGGAGCACTTACACGGCTGCTGCATTGAGCAGAGCGCCTAAGCTCTGATTTTTATGCTTGTAGATATCAGACCTTCCGTTTACGGGTCGTCTCCTTGATTAAACCCATGTTATCTGGGCAAACTGTGAATGCCTATCTCTGGTCGCATGCGGCATCTCAAGTGGATTTTTTGTGCATTTTGGGCATAACGCCGAATTTCCGTGACGATTTGCTTATCCGTCTGCCTAGCGCCCTGACTGCTAGGCCCCAAAGTTGTAGTGGTTTATTCGAAATGGGCATCACACACTGACAAACGACTTCGCTTTATTGCCGAAAACCCCTTTTCCCTACTTTCTTCATCGCGATCACTTTTCCTCCTGTTAGCGGTAGATCCTTGATCTATGCGTCTACTTTTTGCTGATCTTGCTCCATTCTTGTTTTCCCCGAGTTTGCTTATGCAGAAGGCAAAGTTATCGCTAACTCTACCTTCCTCCAATCTCCTGTTCATTAAATTTTTCTCACCAAGGATGTCAACGGCCTCCCTAATCTTACGCTTCCTTGTGTTGTGACCGTATGGGGTTCTTCGTTCTGTTCCCTTCCAATTGATCTAGTGTCCAGTCTATGCGATGTGTTCAGCTAGTTCTGATCTTTCGTTATCCATTTTCCTGAGGAGCCTCTGATGTTTCTTGATTCGTGTGCTAATTTTTCTCCATGTTTTGCCAATATATTTCTGTTCGCAGGCGCCGCATAATATGCAATAAACTCCTGAACAAAACAATTTATCTACCCTTTCGTGTTGCGTCGGTAGACTTGTGAAAAGTGTTGATTTCTATTTCATGGCCACCTGAGTTAGTTCGAAGGAAGGCAGGCATATCCACTTTGGTGAGTCTTTCATTGTCCTTACTGTTCTTTTATAGTCCCCATACTGGAATCGGCTTTTCACGGTCCGTATGTCTCCTTGTATCACTTCGCTAGGGTAGCCATTGTCGAGGAATATCCTCGTCAATTTGTCCAGCTCCTCGTCCCAGAATTCTACATCCGTTAGGCGTAGGCTTTGGATGATCATGCTCCTCATTATTCCAATCTTCAGCCTGTAATTGTGATGGGACCGGAAATATTGTATTATCCCAGCATAGGACTTCTTTCTAAACAATTTCTTTTTAAGCGTCTCATTAAAACGAATTACTTCAACGTCCAGGAACGGTAATCGCTCACCTTTATCTATTTCCATCGTGAATTTTCCATCAATATGATTTACAAACTTCAGAAACTCTTCCAGTTTTTCTCTTCCATGTGACCAAATTGCGAAATAATCATCCAGGTACCACATGAGCACTACCAGTTGTAGCGGTGCCATCTTGAACTTCTCTTCTATTTTGTTCATGTATACGTTCGGCAAAAGTGGTGAGAGCGGCGATCCCATAGCAAGTCCAAATATTTCTTCATAGATGTTCCTGTTGAAAGTTCAATAGGTTAGCGCATTTTCTCCAGATATATTTGTATACATCGATTCCACATCGAAACATACCAATAGGTCTGTTTCTCCAGTGCCATGTTTTTAATTTTTTCAGAAAATTCATATGAATGTTTCACCGTATTTGCTAGCCTCTCATTTTATTTCTTGAGTTTCAAACATATAAACTTTGTTAATTTATGTGTTGCTCCATACGTGTTGTTGACTATCAGCCTTAGTGGCTCGCCCTCTTTGTGTATCTTCGGCAATCCGTATGCTGTTGGTGGTCGTGCATCCTTTCTTATAATTGAATTTATTGTCAATGCCTTAATCTTCTCATTCCTATGCATATCTTTCAGTATGCCACTTACGATTCCATTGATCTTCATAGTTGGGTCCTTGTTTAGCATACGATATGTGTTCATGTCTCGTAGAATATTTTCCATCTTCTCGGTATATTGTTTTTTGTCCATTATCACTGTAGCTCATTCTTTGTTCGCCTTAAGGACTAATTGTTCATTCTTTTTAAGGGTTTTGCGTATCACGGCAAATCTGTTCCTGTGTGCAGGCTCCTGATGTATTTGGAATTAGTTCCATCTCCATTTCCCATTTTGTCTCCTCAGGGAACTTTCGGCGATATTGATAACCTCCACCAGGATATCTCCTAGAAGGTTTCTGTGATGTTGAATTGAAAAATGGAGTCCTTTTTCGAGGAACGCGATTTTTCGGGATTGAGAATAATTAATTATAAGTTTAGTACTTTCTTCCGATCCTCGTGTTGATAAGTAGGTGATGTCACCTCGGAAGCCACTTCATCTGGACGTACTGACTTTAACTTTGGCTGTCTTATAATCCCAAACTTACGCAATTTATCGTCATGCCGTTTTGCTATTAAGTCAGAAATCCTACGTGATTTCCTGTTGGTCATGCTTTGGAGTTTTTGAAAATTTTCCGGAGACAGGATCCTGGCCAAATCACGACGGAGTTTTGATTTACTATCTATTAACTAAAAAACTTATAACGTTCAGTATCATATGCCTCACTTAGTCTCTAAATAGAAGCCTGGTGGAGATACTCATTAACCTTAGCCTAGTGGTAGGGTCTATTAAGGTCACAGGTAGGGAGTCGTTAACAAGACTGATCAACTTGACAATACGGACCACCTAGTTTACATATAAAAGGAAAATCTATGAACAAATATTTGGACTTTCCATGGGAGCGCAGCTCTAACCACTTTTGGCAAACGTATACATGAAGAAAAGAGAAGAGAAGTTTAAGATGGCACCGCTACAACCGGCAGTGCTCATGCGGTACCTGGATGAGTACTTCGCACTTTGGTCACATGGAAGAGAAAAACGGGAAGAGTTTCTGAAGTTTGTAAACCGGATTAATGAAATAATTCAATTCACGATAGAAGTAGATAAAGGTGAGCGGTTACCGTTCCTGGACGTAGAAGTGATTTGCTATAATAGGACGCTCAAAAGGAAATTGTTCAGAAACAAGTTTTAGGCTGGGATAATACTCGATTTCCGGTCCAATAATAATTACAGGCTGAAGTGTGGAATAATGAGGAGCATGTTCATCCGAAGCCTAACCTAACCGATGCAGATTTCTGGGACTTGGAGCTGGATAAATTGACAAGGAACTTCCTTAGCAATGGCTGCCCAATCGAAGTAATACAAGGAAACATACGGACCGTGAAAAGCTGATGGCAGAACGGGGACTATGAAAGGACGGTAAGGACGATGAAGGATTCACAAAAGTGGATATGCCTACCTTCCTGCAAACTAACTAAAAAACGACGGCAATTATTGAGTTAATGGAATATTTGGGTGGCCATGAAAGCGAAAACAACACTTTTCAAAAGTCTACTGAAGCAACACGAGAGGGTAGATAAATTGGATTGTTCAGGAATTTACTGTATATCATGCGACACCTGCAAATAGAAATATTTAAGCGAAACTGCGAGAAAAATTAGCACACGAATCAAGAAACACCAGAGGCTC